AAGGTCAATTATTATCGGATTTATTTGATGCATGTACTGTGAGCTTAAGAATCGATCTAAATCGATGCATTTATTCAATCCATTGCACACCACTTATTTCCTAGTGATGATGTCAACACCCAGAACCGGATACTCATTTAAGCCTGAGTCAAGGAGGACAATTTCAGATATCACTTTCCACCGATGCCATCCATCTACGGCCGACTGTTGACCCTAGATCGCTGGGCTGTCATGCGGTTTCCAAACCACTGAAGCAGTTAAAATCATGCTATATATTTATACTGGAGGAATCCGATGACCTATGAAGCACTTTTCACAGATGTCCAGTAGGGGCAGGTCATAACGTAGGCTTGCCACCTTCTACACTGCAGACCAAACCTTGGACTCATTTGAAAGTCAGCACGAGGTCTGTTATCAAAAACCGTGCAATATTCTGCAATAAAGTTCAACACAATATCGGTACCAGATCTCGGTACAAACCTAAACTGAAAATTATTGAGGCTAAACTATTTAAATATATAAAAAACAATTCCTGCCACCCGGACACAAATGCTAATTCTTGGACTGCCCGGGGTCAAAGTTGGATGGGTGGCAAGTCTCGATAGGAGGAATACCCCCGACACGGCGGTCACGGCTCCAGGGATTGCGGATTTGTTTTGATTGTTCTCGGCGAGCCTCGGGGAAGCTCCGTTAACGTGAACGTGACCACCGTGCGTCTGTGCACAGCAGTGACTCCTTCCCACTGCTTCCGTGCAGCATTTTGGGTTTTGCAGTCACATTTAGATGCTATCGCCATCATCATCATCAGCTAGGTTGTATCCGCTGCTGGATGAAGACCTTCAAACACAATTGCCTGCCACCATCCGTCTCGCTCCTGCACCTGCGCGTGAAGCAATCTCACGCTCCATCTCCGCGGTCGCTGTCCGCTTGGACGCGTTCTCTCCTTCGGCTGCCATTCCATCATCAGCCTCGTCCATTGACCATCATCCCCACCTGGCGAAGTTGTCCTGTCCAAGCCGATTTGCTTTTGTGGATTTTTCAATGCCGTGTCTCCCATTTGGTGTTGGTCTCCGAGCCTTATGCTGTTCCCTCCTCCTGTTCTCTCAGCGTAATTACAGGCGTGCACCTTTCACCACGCTTCTCCGCATCCATTTTCAGACTTTCCTATAAACATTTCATTGCGCCCGTAAGAACGCTGTTGAATTCCCCCCGCCCACGCCCCGCCCTCCCGGCTCTCTGGCTCCGAAAACGACAGACGCTTGTGTTGGTGCGCTCCGATTCACACGCGGAACCCCAAGGGGCTTCGATCCTCGCACTGGGAAATAAACAAAAGCTCGCACGGTGAAAATATATTACACACACACACTAGTTAGACGCCATTAGACTTCAAAGTTGTCTCTCCTGGGAAAGGTGTTGACTGTGAGTGTGTACGTGCAATTGTCGACTCTGCCAAATATACCGATCGGCAGCGTAGCGGTTATCAAGCTGCGCTACTGAGAACCTGGCGACCCAAAGTTCGACTCCCGCTCACGGCCAACACCAGCGACGATTTTCTGAACTGGTCCTGGGCCTCCCCGACTCAGTCTGAAATGAGTACCTGGTGCGGTGTGTAAACATCGCTCACTGGGGAGACAAAGGCGGTCGGGCGCGGTGCTGGCCACCCACCCCCTCGTGTGATGTGCGGGTCTTTATCGGCGCTGCTAGCGAACAGCACTTGCCACAACAGTCTGTTAAGGCTATACGTGGGGGGGGGGGGGGGGGGGGGGGGGTTTGTCTTTGTGTACGTGCAATCGCGAGAGGCGAACGCTGTGGCGCTGCACCGCGGCGTCATTCGCTGGCCTCGCCCCCCGTTCCCTGGATGCGTCGTGCCCCAGGCCCAGGGCCGCTGTGCTGTGGGCGTCCCTTTTATATATATAAAACCGCTGCAGAACATGTATAAATAAATAATGTGACAATCTTAAAAAACACATATGCACGCCAGGCTCTTAATTTTCTTTCAGGCATTGCAGCTGTTGTGGTGGGGGAGAATGGGGGGGGGGGGGGGTTGGTGGTGAGATTTTTTTGTCCTTGTCCGTCCGTGTGCGACACGCAGGACCGTGCCTCTTAAAAGAAGTAAACGGGCCCAGGTGTATTCATAGGCGGCGTTGACGGGACGCCGTAGCTGACGGAGGGCGGGAGTCATGGAGAGCGGAGTCGGTTTTCGCGGCCGTGCTGTATAGCTGACAGGCCCGTCTTCGGGTTGTACCGCGCGCGTCGTTCTGAAGGAGCTCCCAGCACGTCGATCAAAACGTCGGACATCGTGCTGAACAACGCGCCGCACGACTCGAGAACGCATCGGAGAGCCTGAAATTGAGGCACGGCGATTTCAGTCCCATTCTTGTCGTACGGCTGCTGCTGATGCACGTGCAGAGCAATGACTTCGAGTTCACATTGAGGTGGTCAGGCCAGCAGACAACCGCGTCGGGAGGAGCGGAGTGTATGGCTGCGATGTCTCCTTTTGCATTGCATCGTTATGCGATGTACGGTGTGTCCTGGACGACCACAGTTGCACACTACTCCTGGAGGGTTTTAAATGTTTAACGTTTGTGCGTCAGGGTATCCGCATTCGTGGAAGAACAAAAACCGCGGAAACTCAGAACCTCGGTGAAAAAAAACCAAAAGAGAAACCGACCAACAGTGGGTGTGGTTTGTTTTTGGGGGGCTATAACATTTCACCATTTTAATGACGATTAAATGGCAATACATAGAGGCCGAAGCATATTATAGTTGCAAACAGATCGTATGTATTCAACAGCTATTAAAAAAAGCACTTTTCAAGTATGCCTTCAAAAGGATACCGTGTGTTTCTATCTTCCGCTACAAACTCAACATTGATTTTTTTTTTACATTTAGTTTTCTAGCAAGATTTTAAAAAGTGTATTAAATGTTTTTATTCTTATTTTATTTAAAGAGTACAAAAAAACCCCAATACAGGAGATACACTTGGGTAATAATATCAATTAGCGAATGAATCAAATTAGAACATTTTCGTATACTGCAGCAAAAAATGTAGGGGGGGAGGGGGGGAAACCTTTAAAATATAAAATGTTCGTAACTAAATCACGAACTTCCTAGCATACGGAGAGAAGGTTTAATCAGGGGTAACATTCGGATGCATACAGCTTCATGCGCACTAAAGCAGATCTACACAGTTTATTATTCGGGACGAACAAAAAAAACAACGAGAAAGATCGTGACGGAAAAAACACACAAATCGAAATAAAATATCGTCGTGTGCGTGTGTGCGCGTGCGTACGTGCGCGCGCGCGTGTGTGTAATGTGCGTGTGTGTGTGTGTGTAGTGTGCGTGTGTGTGTGTAATGTGCGCGTGTGTGTGTGTGTAATGTGCGTGTGTGTGTGTAGTGTGCGTGTGTGCAATGTGCGCATGTGTGTGTAATGTGCGCGCGTGTGCGTAATGTGCGCGTGTGTGTGTAATCTGCGCGTGTGTATGTGTGTAATGTGCGTGTGTGCGTGTGTAATGTGCGCGTGTGCGTGTGTGTAATGTGCGCGTGTGTGTGTGTAATGTGCGCGTGTGTATGTGTGTAATGTGCGTGTGTGCGCGTGTGCGTGTGTGTAATGTGCGCGTGTGTGCGTGTGTGTAATGTGCGTGTGTGCGTGTGTGTAATGTGCGCGTGTGTATGTGTGTAATGTGCGCGTGTGTGTGTAATGTGCGCGTGTGTGTGTGTGTAATGTGTGCGTGTGTGTGTAATGTGCGCGTGTGTATGTGTGTAATGTGTGTGTGTGTAATGTGCGCGTGTGTGTGTAGTGTGCGCGTGTGTGTGTGTGTAATGTATGTGTAATGTGTGCGTGTGTGTGTAATGTGCGCGTGTGTATGTGTGTAATGTGTGTGTGTAATGTGCGCGTGTGTGTAGTGTGCGTGTGTGTGTGTGTAGTGTGTGTGTGTGTAATGTGTGTGTGTAATGTGTGTGTGTAATTTTTTGTGTGTAATGTGTGTGTAATGTGTGTGTGTGTAATGTGTGTGTGTAATGTGTGTGTGTGTAATGTGTGTGTGTGTAATGTGTGTGTGTAATGTGTGTGTAATGTGTGTAATGTGTGTGTAATGTGTGTGTGTGTAATGTGTGTGTAATGTGTGTGTGTAATGTGTGTGTGTGTGTAATGTGTGTGTGTAATGTGTGTATGTAATGTGTGTGTGTGTGTGTAATGTGTGTGTAATGTGAGTGTGTAATGTGTGTGTGTGTGTAATGTGTGTGTGTAATGTCTGTGTGTGTAATGTGTGTGTAATGTGTGTGTGTAATGTGTGTGTAATGTGTGTGTGTGTAATGTGTGTGTGTAATGTGTGTGTGTGTAATGTGTGTGTGTAATGTGTGTGTGTGTAATGTGTGTGTGTAATGTGTGTGTGTGTAATGTATTTGTGTAATGTGTGTGTGTGTAATGTGTGTGTGTGTGTGTGTAATGTGAGTGTGTAATGTGTGTGTGTGTGTAATGTGTGTGTGTAATGTCTGTGTGTGTAATGTGTGTGTAATGTGTGTGTGTAATGTGTGTGTAATGTGTGTGTGTGTGTAATGTGTGTGTGTAATGTGTGTGTGTAATGTGTGTGTGTAATGTGTGTGTGTGTAATGTGTGTGTGTAATGTGTGTGTGTGTAATGTGTGTGTGTAATGTGTGTGTGTGTGTAATGTGTGTGTGTGTGTAATGTGTGTGTAATGTGTGTGTGTGTGTGTAATGTGTGTGTGTGTAATGTGTGTAATGTGTGTGTGTGTAATGTGTGTGTGTGTAATGTGTGTGTGTGTAATGTGTGTGTGTGTGAAATGTGTGTGTGTGTAATGTGTGTGTGTGTATAATGTGTGTGTGTGTGTAATGTGTGTGTAATGTGTGTGTGTGTAATGTGTGTGTGTGTAATGTGTGTGTGTAATGTGTGTGTGTGTAATGTGTGTGTGTGTAATGTGTGTGTGTAATGTGTGTGTGTGTGTAATGTGTGTGTGTAATGTGTGTGTGTAATGTGTGTGTGTGTAATGTGTGTGTGTGATGTGTGTGTGTGTAATGTGTGTGTGTGTGTAATGTGTGTGTGTGTAATGTGTGTGTGTAATGTGCTAGCGTTAATCACCGAATGCTGTCGTCGAGCTCGTGGACCCCATTAGTGTGGCTGTTCTCCCAGTGTCGGCCAGACATTTTGCGGACGGACTTGTTGGCCTGACCCCCGTGAAGACGTTCCGTGGCAGGGCACGGCGCGGTGGGGTTGGGGGGGGCGTTCAGTTCGAGCCTCCCTTGTTCTTGCCCTCCTTGCCCTTCTTTTTTGACGCTGCGTGAACGACGGGCAGACACATACGGCAGGAGCGCTCACCATTAAACGACCTCTGTTGGGGGGTTACGGTTCAATTTTTTTGTCGGAAAATATTATTTTTGTTCAGCGAACGTTATTTCACGCGACTTCCCACGGGTCAAAACACCAGATATATAATATATATATAGATTAATAAATAAATGTTCTTCGAGTAGACGTCTGCCCACATTGCCACAGAAGCACTTCGAAGCCTCCTCCGCCAGCACGTGCAGGGCAACCAGCCAATGGCGGAGCCAGGATTGTCAGGTGGGGGGGGGGCAACCCCTCCAGCAATGAAAAACGATAGAGGAGTTGTTGGTAAGTAAGGACTTGTTAGTAAGTAAGGAGTTGTTAGTAAGTAAGGAGCTGTTAGTAAGTAAGGAGTTGTTAGTAAGTAAGGAGTTGTTGGTAAGTAAGGAGTTGTTAGTAAGTAAGGAGTTGTTAGTGAGTAAGGAGTTGTTAGTAAGTAAGGACTTGTCCCTTGCTTTTTATTCGACGCGTGTGCGGCGATGACGCAGCCATCGATCGAGGGTAGAATTCGAACCGCGTTGTGTGATCGGCATCGCGCTCGCTGAAGGTGTCGATGCCTTCAGGGAAGTCGTGTACTGTATAAGCAGCTGCGCACAATTCTGAGTCACTTATAACCGCTTTGCCGTTACCTATTGCCAATTATGGACTCAGACTATTGTCCTATCATCTCATAGAGTCCCTGGCACGTAATAATATGCTACACAGTGGCACTGGGGGTCGTGAAGTGCCGATTTATTGCTAATAAACCCCAATGATCCGATCGAAATGAGGGATTTCGATCGGATTATTGGGGGGGGGGGGGGGGGCACGTGCCACCCCCCCCCCCCATGGCTCCGTCAGTGCAACGAGCTCACCCGGCACGCCCTGACGCCACTGCACAGCCGAAGACGATGTGCTTGTCTCCTGCTCCCCGCACACTAACGTTGATAATGACGCTTCGTAACACACAGCCCCCCAGTAAACTTGTTCTGATGTCCTTCTTGCCACTGACGTTTGCCGCGGTTCCTCGTGGGGGCGTGCAAACTACTTTCGGATGGTGAAGATTGGGAACAAGGCCCAGGTCACTGTGTTCGTTGGCGGTGAACTACTACACAACCAGTCCACCCCGCTGGTAATATATCTCTCTGAATAAACGAACAAACACGTTGAATATATGAAAAACTAAGAATAGGGTTTACCCTTTCTGGCAATAAAACAGGCGTCAAGATGTACAAACACCCGATAGATACCTTTTGCAAGGAATCATGTCTGCATTAACCACACGTGCGTGTGGTGAACATGCAAACAAAACATGTTCTCATAATATATGCATAATATATGCATGTATTATGCAGTTACTTGATACCTTGCAAAAGTTATCTATTTGGTGTTTGAACATCTTAACACCTGTTTTATTGCCAGAAAGCGTAAAACCTATTCTTATTGCTCATACTTTGATACCGGCAAAAACGTCCCATGACATATTCAATATAACACGAAACAATATCGATCAATGCTATGAACCCCATATTGTGAATTGAATTAAATCTTTAATTCCATCATTCAATGACAGCGAACGCTCAACTCGACCATGGCTCAGATTCCCCCTCTTGCACACCGCAAATAACAATCCGACCAAACCATCTCACCAGCCGGCACGCTGGCTCGGCACGCTCCGCAGTGGACGCTGCGTAGTTCGCCCGCCCGAGCTGTAAGTGCAGGAGAATTCACGCTGGGAGCGGCCCCAAACAGTGGTCAGCACGGTCGGCCACGTATGGCGCAAAAGAAGTTCAACGTTTGGCACGGCGGTCCCTCCCCTCTCAGGCTACGTTCGCTTTGGGGGCAAAAAAACCAAACTCTTCTCGTAAACACGGGGGCAGACTTTGGAGCGATCGGGAGAGGGGTCACTGGGGAGGGGTCAGATTGCAAATAAGGTCGCGGTTTTTCAAATTTGTGCTCACAGTGGGGGGGGGGGGGGGGGGGGTGCACCTCGGACAAATCTCTGAGCCGCTGTGACACTCCGTGGAGCCCGTGATTCATTCTCTCCGTCTTCCCTGGAGACGTAACAGGAACGTTCCAGATTGACTCTAGGCCACGGGCGTTTAAAGGTCATTTACGCTGGATAAACAGATGCATGCAAAGCAGTTGGAATATCGTGGTGCTTACCGCGCCGCCCACATGCGCGCGCAGGATATCTGCATTTTGTTGCAAGCAAAGATTTACGGCCGTGTAGTTTCACGATGAATGCTTTGAGCGCGCTATTTACATCCACCTGAAGATTTTTTTCTTTCTTCAAGACGGACAGATTACTTAAAATTGCCACTGGGCGGGAAGAAAAAAATCCGAGCGGACTTTTATTAGCGATTTTTTATTTATTTACGGCATAAATGTAACGCGCAAAATAAGTGGCGGAGGCGACACGCACGCGCGCACACAAAAAAATGAGGCGCCATTGTTTAAGGTTCATCTTTTAGCGGGGGACTGGTATATATTTATATATTTGCGGGCGGCGATTTATGAACGTGGCAGGGGAAAGAACAATGAGTTCTCGTGTGCGGACGCAAAAACCACAGCAAGCAGGGAGCTGGGGTTATATTCATTATGGTGCTCAGGCAGCCGCTTAAGAGACCCACACACTTCATTTCACCAAGGTCTGTCTCGTTTGGCGACCCAGAATATATTTCCGTACTCAGCACACCACATCAAGTATAGCTCTCGCCACGGCCGTGGCTGCTATTAGTGACCTGCCACCTATTCCAGTCTACCGGTGTTTGCCTGGTATTTGTTTAAGTCTGGACAATAATAAGAATAATATATTATGCCACTGCTCGATTGAGGCCTTGTTGTTTGACCCTACTTTCACCATCCTGGTCAGTGCAAGTTGATGAAGGGACAGGACCAATTCAGACTTCACTTGCTCGGCGATTGACGTAAACCTTGGCGAGGGAATGGAACTCGGAGCGCTGGGTTTGTAGTGCAGGCAGCGCGCTAAAACCGCTGCACCGCCGCTCCCCTGGCATTGATCGCACGTGGGTATGAAGCCAAGCTATTGTAGAATCACAGAGCCACCCTTCGAATTTGTGGTCTGGTGGTGTTGTTGTTGTTTAGACATATGCTTGTGTAAGCAAGGCATCACGAGTGATGAACATGCTCGTGAAGGTAATGAAACATCTCAAGCATCTCTCGGTTAAGTCGTCAGTTCAGCCACATATAGCGCCCACCGCCGGATGGTAATTTAAGCCATTTTTCAAATCACGTTCCATTAACGATGACAACTTACACGGAAATGTGATATATTAATTAAGTTTATTTTTCCCCCATAAATAAGTAAAATTTAATTAAAACGTGCGCTTGCATTTCTGATAAAAAAAGGAAATTGTGTGAGCTCAGGTGTGGGATTATTTGTTACATCTTACAAAGTATCTATTATTCAACAATGATCACGATCACAACCATAATTTCCTGGACAAGCAGAGATTATTAATGTTGTTCTTGTGATTATCAGTTGTTTAAAAATGTATTCCCACTGATAAGGTTAATATGTCAATCAATACGTGCATAGATTTCGCACAACACATCGTTACGTCAATGATTGATTTTCGGTGGCGCATTAGATATAACGGCAATTCCCCCAAGTATTTAGACACAAACGAAATATCACCATTCGACACATTAACCACGCTCAGTGAAAGGAAATAAAACTGAAATGGAATTAAACAAAAAAAACCTCCAGCGACTGCTATTTACCAAATGATAATGAGCCCCCCGAAATCCTAGCGGGGGCAAGAAAAATAAAATAATTTAAATAAACGAGTAAAAAGCGTGGTTTGCGTAAGGCCTGCATATCGAGGGACCACAGAATCTTTCATCCCAGAATTGTCACGCTACCACCTGCAGCTCGCTCTCGCAGTCTAATCAGTGGGTAATTTTAAGTTGTATCAGTGCCCCTAGGTGCGCGTGTGTGTGTTTTTTTGTATTCTATTTGCGAGGCTGAATGAAATCCTGAGCAGCCTTATTAGCTCAGAAAAATTGCCGCTGGCCTGCAGACAACTGCGCGTTGAGATAGGATTGTTGTGGCAAACCTCGAGTAATCACTGGGGTTTTTTTATGAACGTGGCCGGGGTGCGCTCGGGGAGCCAGCAACCACCAAAACTCGGGTTCAAGCCCTGTCCAAAACGTGTTCTTGTGTTCACTGAGAATGGCGGCATCAATCGAGCCTATTCATGATGGGCAGAAGAACAGCAATGACCAATTCTACGTAAAACAAATGTGGTTACAATAAAATTCAACCCAGCATCGTGGCGGACACGAGGTAGACGGGCCCAGAGTGAATTGCTCATCGAGCACGGATGGGAGAGTTCTGTGTTGCGATTATCGACAGAGGAGACGGTGCTTCTTCAGGGGCAATCAATGGCCACTCTTCCTGTGTGCCAGAAGTGACGACCCGCGGTTACTCTGTGCCGCAATGCTGATTGCATTCGTGGGATGTGCAAACAAAATTTTGAAGAAAGGACACGTGCAATAAGTGTATGCATGTATGGATGTACATATGCATATCTGAATACCCAGGAAGTTGGCATAGTAGGGGGAATAGGCGGTGGCATCGGCCAATCATCTTAGTCAGTCAACCCATAGCACCTGGGTCTGTCCCGTGACCTCCTGTCAGCGGGTGTTCGACACTTCACGTGGCCTTAAAGTGCATATAGTCTATTCTAAATTTAAAGCTTTCGTGCCTGCAAGGATCCATACTCTTTGGTTCTATTCGGTAAAGTCACGTAGGTGAAAAATAAAACAACAAAAATCACGACGTTTCGGCCACAACACAAGTGGCCTTCATCAAGTGAAGGGTGAAGGGGCCAGACTGTCTGGCCCCTTCACCCTTCATCAGACAGTCTGGCCCCTTCACCTGATGAAGGCCACTTGTGTTGTGGCCGAAACGTCGTGATTTTTGTTGTTTTATTTATTACCTACGTGACTTTACCGAATATAACCAAAGAGTATGCATATAGTCTGGCACAAGCACGTGGTAACATCACCGCTACTTAATGTCGAATGGCGGTTGTTGTTGTTGTGTGCATATTTAAACTCACGTATAAAATAATACATATAAAGGTCAAGTCGAGGTGAAGAGGTCATGAGGGCCAATGCCATTGATGTCACCACTCCTCGCCTTGGCTTCCTTCTGCCAGATCCCATAGTTGTTCAGTCGACACCTTCAGCTCAACAACCGCTCTCACAATCTCATCTCATCCTATCAGGATTTAGGTCTCCTCTTCTGCTTGGTCACCAGCCTCTGGGTACCACTCCAAATACCTTCCTCGGCTGTCTGTCCTCTTCCACCCTGCACACGCGTCTCATCCATGACAACCACCTCTTCCTGAATGCATCCACGATGCTTTACTGCCACATTCTCTCGTGAACTGCGAAAATAGCGTACCCTATCCTTACATACAATGTAAAGCGTCCTTTTAAAGTCACCTCTATTGAAAGGTGTCCTTTCTACGAGCAGTTAAAGGCTGAATGCATACAACTGGGATTCGTAACTATCATCATCAGCCATGATCAATACACCGCTGCATTAAGGTCTCCTCAAGCCACCTCCATCTTTCACAGGCTTGCAATTTAACAATCCACCGAGCGCTTGCGCTTAAGCTAATATCAAAGCTAGAAATGTAGTGACTGCCTATAACAGCCAATAAGAGTTCCGATTGCAATCGGAACTATTATTTCTGTGAGTAATCATTCACCCAAAAAAAGCCTCCCTGAGTCTCAATACTTTTTTTCAGGAGGGTCCTGCTGTCAGATTTTTGGACAATTCCATGAATATGAATTTGGGTTCAATTGGTAGGAAATCAGACAACACGCAGCACTCATACGTATGTTGAACTTCTTTTGCACCGTATTGTGCTAATCAGAGGTGCATACGAGTGGGTGACACTCAGCCCTGCCATGCCCCAGCCCCCTCGCAGGTCCAACCTACAGTACCTGGGGAAGCCCTGGAGGTAGTCACCCATCCAAGTACGAACCAGGTTCAACCCCCAGCTTTGTTTCTGAAATCTGACAAGATCGGGCACACTGACGGGGATCTGATCATAGCAGGCAAAGTCAATCCTTGCCCAAGTGGCACCAGAGTTGTTTTAGTCACTTAAAGTGAAAAAATCCATAGAGCGGAAACATCCGATGGCAATCTGGGAGGTTGACTGAAAGTGGTTTAAATGTGCGAAAATCCTCGAAGGTGCTGGAAAGTCACTTTCCACTTTGAAGGTAGGGCAAGTGATGTCGTCTCAGACAGCACACTCGGCACAGCGCTTGCAAAGTTTTGGACGGTGTGAATTAAAATGTCACATCAACCTAGCATGAGCTTCATTTTAAAGCCCTGTCATGTTTTAATAACATAACATAATAGAATGAGTGCACTGATCCTAGCTGTTATTATTTTAAAATATGAATTAATAATGGCGAGGGCACGAGTACTTTCAAAAACCTGCTGCCCTCCAAAATAAAAGTCCTTCTTGTGTCCTCAGTTCCGTCAGCTATTGCAATACTTTTGATATGCATAATTACTTTTTGACAAGCAAATACACAAAGCATGCATATATTTAAACAATTGAAAACACTTTATTTTTATTTTACCAGCTAAGGCTCACTGAGCTACTACATAACTCTTTCTCAGAAGCGATCTGGCCACGTGATACCCCAACGAAGTGGCTTATCGTCGCATATACATTTATGGGCGCCAAATACTATAAACGCATATTTCTAAATGCGGAGGGAAAAACCGGAGGAGCAGTAGAAAGGATACACTTTTACGACACGTGAAATGGAAAGGAAAAAGCGCGGCTCTGGAATTGCTCGCTCGTACCACTGCTGGCGGAAGGGGGCCTCCACTAGAGGGAGCTCTAAGATGGCCCTTTAAGAGGGTTTTTTTTTTGGCCTACACTTCCACGCTGGCCATACATCTTGGTTAGAGGTGAGAGTACCCACACTTTACACCACCGCACACAACATTTTAGTGAGAATCTTGCATTGGGATGTTTGGGAAATTATGGTGAATGAATATTTGGATTACTTTGGCAGAAAGCCCAGTGGGTTCACAAATCCACTTTACTGAACTCCCATCTCCGGGCCTTACCTGCAGTTCGGAGGATTTTGGAGTTTCACAAATCTGTTCCTTAAACTTCTAATCAATTATTTTTTTTATTATGCCTTCCAATTGTGACACCTGCATCATGTCACAAGATGAAGAATCCCCGAGCACGTCTCGTAGAGCAGTGCAGCACACCGTGTTAGGAAATGGTCTGCAGAAGCAGATATCGCAGAACGACTTCTGAGATCCATTAAAGTGACCTCTTATTCACAGGAGGGGGCAGCACATTCCCACCCACCCTTCTGCAGCGAGTGATGTTTGTCAATGAGAGTCCACGCAATTTTTTTGATTTATCAGAGCTAGAATTTAGGAAACGAAGCACGAAAGAAAATCTAAGCACGATGTATTTCCTCTGCAATTCTCGGTGACTGGGCTGAGACCACCAACTCACTGCACTGGAGAATCCAAATCAAACTCTCACCGCTTGCCGGATTCAAACTCACGATCTTGGCAGCTCCAGGTCAGCGCTCTGACTTCCTAGCCATCCGTCCACCTCCTGAGTGTCACACATCTCTACGTGATCCATCAACCCTGCTTCCAAAGCGCCACGGTGGCGAGATGTCGACTCCCTCAGCTGGAATGGAGGAGGTCGTGGGTTCGATTCCAACCCTGACGCTTGTATATTTGGAGTTTGCGTGTTCTCCCCGCGGTCGGGTGGATTTTTATCCGGCTTCTCTGGTTTGTCTCCTCCACGTTTAGAATGAACATTTAGAGTATTTGGCTGCTATAAATTTCGACATGATAAGCCATCACTGAACCCTCAAGTTTCAAATGACGAGACGCACGAGCGGTTGGTTGAGTGGCCGACGGCATTTTGCCAGCGGTCACCGCGACCCTCACCTTTAGCCTTGGACTTGCCCTTCTTGCCGCATGGCTTCGACACGGTCACCTCCTGCTGGCATTCGGCGTTGAAGATGGCCTTCTTCAGGGTGCCCTGGCGAGTCTTCATCTTGGTGGTGGCGTCACACTCGCCCCAGTTCTGCCAGCGGTACTTACAGTCGGCTGCGGGAGAACATCGAAATAGTGAGAGCCGATCAGTCCGGCCTGAGACGGCGGCTCAATGTCTTCTCCCGGGGAGTGTGAATGTGTGTGTGTCTGTGGGGAGCGGTAGTGTAGTGGTTAGCACGCTCAGCTACAATCCCCGGCAACCCGATTCAATTCCCGCTCACGGTCAACACCAATGATGATTATCTGAACCGGCCCTGGGCCTCCCCTGGGTCGACTCGGCCTCAAATGAGTGCCCGATGCGGTGTGTAACATCGCCACTGGGGAGACAAAGGCGGCCGGGCGTGGTGCTGGCCACCCACCCCGTCGTGTGCTGTGCCAGCCTTCAGAGGTGCTCTCTAACAGTATTTGTCCCAACAGTCTGCTAAGGCGATACGGGGGATCTTTGTCTTTGTATGTGTGGAGCGGTAGTGTAGTAGTTAGTGCGCTGAGCTACGAAACCAGCGACCCGAGTTTGATTCTCAATAACAATGATGAATATCTGTATTGGTCCTGGGACTCCCCAAGGTCGACTCAGCCACACATTAATACATCTGGTACGGTGTATAATTTTCAGCCCTGCTGAGACAAAGGTGGCCAGGAGTGGTGTTGGTCACCCACCCCAATGCATGCCGTGCCGGCCATCAAAGGTTCTTGCTGACAGCACTTGTCCCTCCGGCAGGCGAGGCTACGTTGGCTCGGTCACGTGGCCCACATGCTCAGCCACCACACGCCCAAACAGCTTTAGCCAAACAATGATGGTGCCGCCGACACTAAATCCACACCGACCAGCGTGGTGAAGTACGGTAAAACAACCCCTGGGACTGATACTGCATTGGGAGGCCATCATCCAGCAGTGAATTGATTAAAATATCTTAGGGTGCCGCGGTGGCGAGATGTTGACTCCTTCGCCTGGTATGCAGGAGGTCGTGGGTTTGTCCCGACCTCACGCCTGCTGATTATTTGGAGTTTGCGTGTCTCTCTCCGTGTTGGTGTGGATTCTTCTCCGGGTCCTCCGGTTTTCTCCTCCACATTTAGAATCAACGTCACGCGTTTAGAGTATTTGGCTGCTATACATATCCACATGACAAGCCAATTCGTTGAGCTATCATTTGTAGCCAGGTCGCTTCTGAAAAAAAGAGCTATAGAGCTCAGTGGGCCCTACCTGGTAAAATAACAAAAATACGTACATAGGAATAAATTGCCTTGTAAAAAAATATAAAATTTTACTTTAGAAACAGCGGCCGATCCGAACGGGCATTTTAAGGAGCGCGAACCGAGAGCGGCGCTCACCTCCGAACGGCTTCTTCCAGTTGCACGGGATCTTGCACTGCAGGGTCTTGCTGGTCTGCTTGCACTCGGCACCGCCGCGGGTGCCGCCCCGCGTGCCGGGCCCGCAGTCCAGCTGGTTGGGCACGCAGGCGCCCCACTTCCACTTCTCGCAGTCCGAGTCCACCTTCTTCGCCTTCTTCTCCCCTGCGCGACGCAAAACCAATTCACGAACCGCGTTGATATTTTTTGTCTGCCTCGTGGTAAAAGTAAGTTCCCTCCTGGGGTTCGATTCCAGCCTCGGCCGAGTTTGTGTGTTCTCCCCCCCCTGCCGCCGCCCCGGTCTGCGTCGGTTTATTAACTCGGGGTTCTGCAGCTTCCCCGGCGACCTGAAGTTGATTCCTGCACCGTGGCCAACATGAGGCGCGAGCGATATCTCAAGACGGCCCGAGCTTGCCCTTTCCCCACTTCACCAACCCCACCGCCTGACCAGCGTGGCGAAGTATGGTCAAACAACCCACATGACCCGCATGACCCCCATGGCATGAGGAGGCCATCAAATCGGCTTGGATTTACAAAAGGCTGTAAGTTATATTAATTATATGTCGTGATAAACCGATGTACAAAATATTGGCTTATGGCTTGTGCGTGAACGCAACGGGGATATCTTTTGTGTAAATAATTCCGTTATTAAAAGAATAATGTATTCAGCCTGTGTGAAAGAAAATAACATGGTCAGAATAGGATTGAAGCCCAAAGCTTGACATCTTATTATGTACAAAAATTGTATGTTCTCACCAAGCCAAATAAAAGACATTTAATTTATTAAAATGAGTAAACTATACACAACCCCTATATAGTGCATATATATGTATATAAATGACGGCGCGTGCTTTTATCTGTAATTCCAGTGCCGCGGTTTCCTCTCATCAAAAAGGCATCGAGCCACAGCGCATGCACAGCCAGAAGAGTCCCCGAAGACGATGAAACGTGTTAAAGCCACGCAAGATTATGTCCCTGCCACAAAATTAAACAAATTATTCGGCAATACTGCATTGGCAGTGGTGCACAAGCACAAATAGCAGGATTTTTTTACACATTCATGGGGTGCTTGAATAAGGGCCCATTGCAAGATATGTCACCCATTCCATATTTGTTTTATATTTTAAGGCCACGGTGTTATTAGCGAATGCGTTGATTTTGTTGTTATTTAATGCCTTTGATTAAAACTACGGTTTCGGTCGTGTGTACGGGCCGCAGCGAAGCTCCGTGTCCCCGTGAGGTATTTCTACATTGGCACTTTTGAAAATATCAACAAAATGGAAAATAGGCAAAAAGGGAAAATATTAACAAAACGTAAAATAGGCAAACGGGAAAATATCAACAAAATATAAAATAGGCAAAAGGACAATATTTCTAGATTTGAAGTTTTCGTGACTGCAAGGATCCATACTATTTGTTTTTTTTCGGTAAAGTAACGTAGGTAAAAAAATATTAAAATATTAAAATAAATTAGATTGAAAACAAATAAATTAAATCACGACGTTTCGGAAGCAACACAAGCAACCGTCATCAGGTGTTGACTGCTCCAGCAAAATTACTGAGGCGCGTGACTTAACCGAATAAAACAAAGAGTAGGGCAATATTTCCTTGCTGAATAACGCGGCCCACTCCCATTTCTTTCGTAAAAACCGCTCGGGTGCCCTGCGTTCTCGACTGCTTCGGCGCTTAGCACATCTCAACCAATAAGCCGAACCGCCTATTAAGCGCATAATAAACGAGGCCTTGCTGCTCCGTGCCAACGGAGACGATGAAAGAAGACTCGAGCGCTATGCCAGATAACAAAACTACGATGCTAAACGTTACCACCGACGCACAGGCCGCTGACGCAAATGATCAAATGATCAAACGAGCAGCTGTCTTCCCTTCTGTGGAGTTCATTAAAAATTTGTTGCAATGAACGCGGGAGTCGGCGTCGAGGCTACTTTCGCCTTCGCACCTCGAAGCGGGTGAGACTCGAGGGGATTCCGGAGATTTTAGCCAAACTCTTAGATCCAGCAGAAGAAGAAAAAACGTCCCACGAGAGGCGTTGAAGTATGCGAGAGGCTTAAAGCTTCGACCTCTAAGCCACAACAAATGGGGGCACACGTCACGGGAAGAATAATATCTTGCAGTACCGGAAGAGGGGAGAACTACATCCAAATACATCGTCTTCAGTGGTATATTATGATTAATAATGATAATTATTATGATTATGCATATTCCAGAAACTGGGGCCTATAACGTCCCGGGAAGAGTTATAGATGCAACAGGACAGCATCTGGCCCATACTCCAGCGTGGGGTTGGTTTGTGCAGAGGATGTGTTGCCGTCTAATCGGGTTTGTGCATGGGAGCTCACACGAGAGAATTTGAAACTCGAATTCGGAGGTGCTCAGAGCTCCCGTGTTTATCTGTGGGCTTACGTGCCACAAATGTGCTCGGGCGTCTTATCTTTGCAAGGATCCTATGGCTTACATTTGTCCTCGCTGATGTCACTGAATGACAGATCTCAAGTTTCCAAATAGCCGGCTGTCAAGACTTGTAAAAAAAAAGAATTGAAATGAAATGTTGAATTAAAAGAAAATTGTTCCACCCACAGTTTTCAGCCCCTTTATTATCGAGCCACCGCTGGAATGATGCTCCCCACCCATGCCCTTTCCCCGCACCTCCCACATTGTTTGATCAAACTTTAACCGTGCTTGATCACTTGTGGTCGGGTGCAGGAACGGCAAACTGATGTTAACCATGGCTGGGAATTTCATTATACTATTCTTGCGCGTGGCAATATATTCAGAAGCCAAATGCCAATGTCGAGGTCTGCTGGGCACGAGAGGGCTTCGGGAGAGAGGGAATTCGCGTAGTTTTTTTCCATTCCTCCACTCTTGAAGGAGTGCAAACTGCAGTGGTTTAGTGTGCACTCCTTCAACGGCAATTGAACGGATGCCGTGAGAATCATAGGCCAAGTGTGCAAGCCATACGGGTTTTTACCGCTTCTCCTGCGATAATAAAATAATGTATAGAATTATAGGAATGGCACATGACATGTACCGCGTCTCGAGAGGTGTCAAAGACGGGCTCTTATGAGTGACTCACTCGCGGGATTTAAGACTTAATTCAAGCCGTTCAAAAAGTAAGAGGGCCTTGGGCAGGACGCATCACTACACGGGATGATGGACAATGGTCAAGATTAGTCATGGAGTAGCGGCCAAGGAATGAAACAGGATGTTCACAGAGGAGACGGAGCAATGAAATCATCTCGTGGATCGTCACAACGCAGAGCCATGAGAGATGGCGACGACTTGGGAGGGCTTCATAGAGCAGTGGATCGATCATGGCTGATGACGACGATGACTTTCTTAACACAGACACAATCAAAAGTCTATCGACAATAATTCCTTCTTTAAGGGTTTTTAATGAAAAATATAAATACAAGAAATCAGAATTAAAAGCCATCTCTGATCACCTACCATTCACAGTGGAGCCAAGCTTTGCGAACGCGAGGCAAGGGATAATCGGACATTAAAGCATGCAAATAGTGTACGGTCCTGCTGTTCCGCGCTAACTGGCTACCATCATCCTCTCACTGGGCAGCCGGGCAATAAATACGCCGCTTCCCGTGAGCGAAAATATTCAGCCACTTGTGAAATAAGCGGTAATGAGCGCAATATTCTCCCCACTGCGCAACAAAACATGAAGGGGAGACGGCATAGAAAAATAATAAAAAAATAAAACGCAGATTATAACGCGGTATTTACGACGCGGATGCACTGCAAACGAAGGGCGAGAAAACAAAGATTTACCCAACGACGCCCGTTAATGTATGTCTGGTTATAACTCGATGTTCTTTCAAATTTTCAAGGCACAATAAAACTTGGTAACGCGAGATCTCCCCCCCCCCCCCCCAGCTGCGATAAAACTTTCGTGATGTCTTCTTTTTTTCGGTTAGAAATTTGTGCGGTGCAAAACAACCCCACGAGCAATACATTTCTACAATGTACACCAAGCGCGTCGGCTCGCGAGCCAATAAAATGGAATATATCCCGGGGAGAAATTGCAGGCATCGTAAATATTTGTACCGTCCCGTTTCGAATGCTGAGCGAGCAGTGATGCCAGTGGTTCTCGGCGACCTGAGGCTTCAATATACGGCCATGGCTGTTTGTATGTATGTTTTTATGTGTGTAGAACTTCTTTCGCACCGCACATAGCCAACCGTGATAATCGGAGGCGTTGGGACGCAACAATGGATGGGAATGGGGAGGAGGGGGAGAACAGGAAATGCGGAGAGCGAATGCAGCAGTACAAGATCTAGAGAGTAAGAGGAATGAGACTGAAGGAGGCAGTAGCGCTCGCTGGCTAAATAAAGAGTACCAGGTTGGAAATTCCTTCGGCTCCATCGTTGCTAATGAGCTGAAGGGACAGATGATGATTAATGCGAATTAATGGCAAGATGTGTCTCACCCACAGTGTGGCTGCAATCCCGCAACATACGTTGTCTCATTTGAAATTGACCAAATATAAACAACACAAGAACTTGAAAAAAAATACAGATATAACACAATTATTGCAGGGTTATAAATAAACAGTATTTGTTTATCTTTCATTCCCTGCGCTGCTTCCCGCGTTGAGGATAGAAATTGTTCCCTGGGCTGTGGTGAATTTGTCAAATTGCCAAAGCCCACGTGTTAATTTGATTTCAAAAGTAACTGGAAGAAACATTTAAAAAATATAATACTCGAGGCAAACTTAGATCATTTTTATGGCTTTTCCAGAACTGGACTCTGTGGCTGCACTGCGAATAATATGAAGACAGGGCACTTGTACAATAATAAAGACACACACACACACATGCATTACAGCTCCGAGTCAATCCACTGCTGAATGAATGCCTCCCATTTCTCGTCGGTTATGGACGCGTTTCTTGTTTACGATATCGCACCACGTCAGTCCGTGCGAATTGAGTGGGATGGGAGATGGGGGGAAAGGGGTGGGGGGCTGGTGTCCCCAGCCACTTCTGTCAATCGTGGTCGGGAATCGAACTACGGTCATCGAATTCGTATGAAATGAATAGTTCGTGTAAAATTAATCAACGGACAAGAGTTGTGTTTGTACGCAAAACAAAAAACAGATGAACGTTTCATTTTACGGGCGGAGCGTCCTTTGGGATCCA